TGTGACGCCATTGATACACGACACCTGAAAACATTACGTTTTTTGTTTTTTGCAGTATTGCAGTTTTTTGGAAGTAGGGCAGGTAATTGTATTCAGCTAATCTTGATAACATGAGTAAGAACATGTAAACTTAGCTGCATGACCAAATGTGAATCAAACCGATCTAACATTTCTGTATAATTACTCGCATCGAATTATGTTAATTGTAGTTAAATATATTGTTATAGTTATTTCCTAAGAAGCACTAGAGAAAAGTGAAAATTTGATATTAATTGTCACAGCAACACGGAAAATACACTTAAATAATAACGGCTTTTGTACTTATTGATACGTTTTATATCCCAGCCGGCATACGTAGGTGACTGCGAACAACGTCGGTCCCAAAGAGTAACTGCAGAAGTTTTTGTGGTTCTAAAACCTTCTGTACGAACCCATCCAGGAAAGCTTTCCACGTCTTGCAGTGTAATATAATTATCAGGTTTAATAGCAAACAAGAAATGCCGTCATTAGATTTTTTAATAGACCTTTAACAAGATTACAGCGTACAGAAACATCCAGGAGTAGGCAAATTATTACTCATTGTTAAAATCCAACTGTTGCGTCTTCCAAGTGACCTTGCGTTTGGCAAAACACTCGTTAGGAGTATGTTTAATGAGCCCTCCTTCCCCGGTAGGCATATAGCTCTGAAAGATAAAAATGCAACAAAGAGGAAAAAATGTATAAGATCATAAAGAAAATGTGAAAGACTGAAGGAATTACCTGATATATTAAAGCTATAAAGGAATTATTTAAAAGTGTGTAATTCAGGAGATCTATTACATATATTTCCACGCCAAAACAATATAATAAGGAAATATATCTGCTAACAAGTTACTGAATAATACGAGTCTACGCAATAGAAAAGGTAAACGAAAATATATGTATTGGAAGCAATTAATACAAAAATTAACTTGAAGACGCATTAAGAAGCCGTATAATGATGTTACATGATTCATTGTGAATGAGGAGTAATCGTTCATCCTCAATCACACGCCAATTTCTCTCAAAGAATTCGAGTACGCAGCTTTTCCCCTCCGTACGAGGGAGCGTATTTGGATGGAGCGTAAAACGTCTGCGACACAGAGTGTAAAACTGTTATAAAAAGTCTCAGCTACAATTAAAAACTAGGCGAGCGATTTTAAATTGATGTAAATTGAAGAAAATAAACCGACGGTACGATAATTTCATGAAATATTGGCACAGGACTCTTTACGCCGCATTGATACCTTTTTTAAGTTTAGAACAAAAACTTAAAAAAATTCAAATTGCCGCCTACTTACTTTAGAGAGACTAATATCCATTTTTTCAAAACATGGCATTTACATTGATATCATTTGTTAAACGTCTGGTTCATCAATGCAATTCAGAGGTCTAGTGTAAGCATCCACCAAAATCTTACAGAAATGACATTGAAGATACTTGCACCATGCCATAGATTGACATTGATGGTTCTTAATCAAACAACTTATGAAAAGTTAGTGACTGAAAATAATATTTCATAAAAAGTAGCAGTGCAATTGTTCTATAATATTTCAAAGGTATTGGATTTCAGAAAAAAGACAGACGTTCCAAAATAAACGTATGTTGTTCATTTTTAAATTTTAGTCCACTAACAACTATTTAGTTCCAGTTCCTTCCACAGCACTCTCTCCTATTCTCTTTTTCGATTTCGCCTCTGTCCTTGTCACCACTCCTCCCCACTGCGGCAACATCACAACCTCTCTTTCTGATCGCCTTGCCTCACCCGACGTTTCCACCACCAACGTCGTCAGTCCCGACCTTGCATTCACTCTCCCGACATTGCTGCTCTCTGAAACTCCGCCTACCTTCCGCCACATCCTTCACAGTCACTGCCTCCTTCACATTGTCGCCGTCGCCGTCACATCGTTGCCATGGCCGTCGCCGTCTCCGTGGCTGTCGCCGCCTCACCGCCACTGCCATCGCCATCAGCAACGTCTACGACAAATTGTCGACGCCATCACATCATCACTGCCACCGAATCACCATGAACCATTGAAAGGTGCTTAAGAACACGATAATTATGGTCCATTAGTTGTTTACGTTTTATTCAATTGAATCGTTTATTTCAGAAACCCGTCAAACGCCAAATTCCTCATTCGATGAAAACTTGAAAAGAAGTCTCCCAATTTTGAGATTTCAAAATATTTTTTCATAAAGAAGTTGATAAATGAATATTTTTATATAAATATGCACTATACGATGTGTCTATCTCCTGCGAACAGAAATTCGTCGCTAAGCGGTGTTAGACTTGACGTTTACGGGTTTCTGAAATAAACGATTCAATTACGTTCATTAGACTTTTTCATCGCTATACATAGCAGTGTTACTCTTACAATGGATGAATTTGACGCCGGTCTACAGGTCGGCTTGCACAGATTTCCCCCCTCCTGGTATCTATTTCCAGCTGGTCACTCCCTAGCCGGAACGAACTCTAGACTCATGTGCGGTGGTAGAGTGCATGCCAGTGTAAGTGTGATTAAGAGGGATAGTGCAGGACTAGGATGAAGAAGTAAATATTGCGCATGACGGATTACAGTTCTGCTCCAGCATTCAGTGGGAATTGCTCCGAAAACTACAAAAAACTACCAATGCGAGCAGCCGGATGATAGAATTCTCTTTCCGGCAGTGGCCGAATTCGACCTAGCTATGTCCTAGCGCCCTAGTCGAAAATACGCCACCGCCGGGACTCGAAGCTAGGGCCTCCTTGTCACAAATTTCCTGCAGAGAAATCGTGGATGCTGGTTCTGAGCTACATCTATTCGGCACTGCTCACCACCAGCATCACAATCGCCATCGTCATACTCACTCAGCCAACTTCATCGTCACCGCACCCGCCACCGTCACCGTCACCGCCATCTCCTCCACATCTACTGCGCCCCCACCCCATCCCTCACCCGCGGGCACCTTGGCTTCAGTGACCGCCTCCGTTTCCTCAACCTCCTCCTTCGCCACCTCCGTGGCTACGACTTCCCCGCTCCGTGAAAAGGCAGCTCCTCGCACCAATTTCCTGCGAGCCCGCGGGACGACGTGTTTGTATCTCCTACACCTTTCCTTTCGCCCCCTCCCCTGCTCCAGTCGCCACGCACGGAGCGTGGCCCCCCGGGTCTAATCTCGGTGCGGGGTCACCTCTCCTCCCCCTCTCGCCCCACAGCCGCCGATCCAAATTGACGACCGATTAACCGCCATTGGTGAAACGCTCGGTGCCATGTCCAGTCAAGGTTTTTCAAAATCGCTTATTTTCACATTGAACTTAATGTTTAGGGAAAATTCAAGGTGCTTGTGCTACCAGAATTAGCAGTTTGTTACTGTTAAAAGGTCATCAGGGGTTCAGTGGACGCCAACGTTAACTGGATGTCGGCGTTAAATAAATGTCAGTGTTAAGTACAAACTCGGGAAAGGTTTAATGTCGACGTTGGATTTCCTCTCCTCTCCGCTACATCCACCGTCACCACGCACGTCCAACTCGAACCGGTTAACCGCGGTTTGCAAAAAGATCGGTGGCATGTCGTGTCATGGCTTTTTAAAACTGCTTATTTCCCCATTAAAATATGTATTTAGGGAAAATCCGGGGTAATTGTGCAACCAGGATTAAGAGGTCTGTTCTGTTACGAGGTCACCAAAGTTCAGTGAACGCCAACGGTCAGTGAATGTCAGCGTTATGTCGACGTCAGCTTTAAGTGAATGCCAGTGTTATGTTGTCGCTTGGTTTAAGTGGTCACCAGTGTTTTATGGTTGTCAGAAGTACGTGGTCGCCAGATTTATGTGATCGCCAGTTATGTGGTTGCAAGGGGTAAGTGGTCACTTGAGTTACATTGTTGCCAGAGTTAAGTGGGCGCCAAGGTTATGTGGTCACCAGGGTAAAGTAGTCACTAGCAGTAAGTTGTCGCCAAGGTTATTTGGTTACAAGAATTCGATTGTGCATTCGAAAGTACGATTGTGAACACATGTACGATTTATTGCAACAAATGTGTTTGTAGGTGAAAAAAATATATTAATACTCATAAAACAGTAATTATAATTTTTTTATTTTTTTCAATAAAAATGGGTTTCCGAATGAAGAAGCGTTGCAGCTATTCGAGTTACTGTAGCCGGAAAAAAAGAGAAGTCTTTGGTCCGTCTTTTGTTGTTAAACAAAGGTAATCCTATTATAGCCTGAGCCGGTAGTCAATACGTTGTCAGAGGTACGAAGGGAGATTTCTGTTCCTTTCTTTTCTATAAGACTGAACAATGATTTAAGTTGAGAAGTACAACAAATATATGATAAATTTACGGACTGTGAATAGTACATAATTATCATTATTCGCAAAAAATACGAATCAAGTAGACGTTCAAACGGCATTGGAACCATTTCCATTGCATCAGAAAATGTCTGACATCCGCGCGAGAATAGAGAATTAAACAGCTTTTACAGAAATGTCAGTGCAGGAGACCTGTAATTCTCAGGGCATCACAGCGTCTCCTTGTTCTCTCAGAAAAGTTTACAAAGTCGTCGAACTGCAGGATATAAATGCGCAAACTATTGCATGTGCTGAGTTTACAGAACGACGGCAGTCACCGATAGCTGTTTTCTCGGAGATTGCAACACTATAAACATCTGGGCGTCAATGTTCACACGAGATTCCGGTTTGAGATATGCAGCCACAGGAAACCGAGTATGAAACTTTCCATAGCCATGAAGGCCAACTGGGGAAAATTAAGCATGTTGATGTAAATACGTTTTTACTGCGTCTGCATCTAAAATACTAAGGTTATTCCCCTTCATTACACAGGTATCAAAAGAAGAAATGAATATCTGAGCCCTACATAAATATGTAGAAAATAATCTTATCACCTTTGAAACGACACTTATTATAACCACCGTTCCAGCCCATACATAATTCACACGGCTAAATCAACATGTGTACTTTATATAAAATCATACGCAAAACAATTTTTGTTTGTTCGTGAGTTCGAGAATAAATATTTTTTACCTTTATATATTATATTAAATATACACCATTACCTTGAAAGAGGCAAGCGATAAATTTGAAAAGTACGAAATAAAACTTAATTTCCGGTCATTATTATTAAGAAAAACATTGAATTTGTATTTTATTTCATATGCATTGAAGCAACCAAGAACAGCTAGCCACAGTACTTCAGTACTCTCTCCAAAGAGGATAGCTAAGTACAGTATTCACTGAGAAAACTTACGTTATGAGAAATAAGGAAAATAGATTGCAAGCAGCCTATTGTCATGTCCTGTTGTAGATAATCTCTTTCCGGCAAAACAATTGCAAATAAAATTGTACTAAGCATGTGAAAAACACTTGACTTCATAAGAAATATGTTGAAACTCGCTTGTTAGTTAAAATTGTGAGTATTCAGGATCTGTGCCGTCTGAGATGTCTAAGGAGGACAACTGACGTCACTGTAGTGCCTCCGACTAGGAGATCCTCGGGTTTGAGTCCCGACGGCATATTGTCCTAATGTCACCCCTTACTTACACTTGTATTTACACGCACTGCACCTCCACATATGCCCGGAGTCCAGTCTGGAGTACAGAGCTTCTCCCTGCTAGGGTGGTGCTTGGTTGGTGGGAAATTCGAGGATGGGGAAAATCCCCAAGTCGAGGTGGAAGTCGCTCTCTCGATCCAGTGGTACAGAACACCGCCACATCCCGTGATAAAAGCATGCACTGCACTTCCGGAACCAAGGACAATAGAGCTGTTGCGCCCGGAATCACGAAATAATCAAACAATCGGTTTTTGAACAAAGACTTCAACTCGGCCATCGGCAATTGCACTGTGCCTTGTGCAATTGCACAGTCTCCACGGACAGTCAGATGTTTTGCCGTCATTCAATTTTTCGGTATCAAGGACCCACGAAACATTGATTATGGCTGCATCATCGTGTTAGAGGATCTTTTTCTAAATGTCGCCTCCCGGACTCGCAGTCATGGATTATGGGGTATGTGGGGTTAGCACGAAGATATCTTTACGCCGTATTCTGGTCTTCTCAACCTGAGAAGTGGGTTTTCTAATCGTCATAGAGCTCATACGTCATACAATAATATTGCACACTATTATCTTACCCGGCCGAGAGTCGAACCTGGGGTCGCATGATGGAAAGCGAGCACTGAACAATGAGCTCAAACGCGAGGGCTTTATAAATGTAACTGGATTTATCGACTTTTGGGTTACCAGTGCCCTGTAATTAGACTTTTTCTGTCGAAAATAAGCCATTTTGTGCGCAGCATTATATAACATTCTCTCTGCTCCGTAGTGAAAACGTAAAAGGTATTATTGAAGTTAGAAGCAGTGAATGTAACGCAACGACTACTTACATATTGGAATATCATACTTATTAACTTCCCTCTCTAAAATTAAGTAACATTTTAACAAACATTACCTTCAAGCAACAGAAACGAAACTATAATACTTTCGGAGTCAAAACCTACGGGATTCTCTAATTCTTCGATTGATTCAAATCCTACATGTTTGAAAGTAACAGTACATTCACACAAACGTACGTATAAGAAACGTACCAAGATGGAATAAACGCGAATAAGCCATTTTGTTCCCGCGTTTAACTAATTAAATCAAATTATATATTTTTCATAATCTTAATGATACACGAGGTATTACTATGTTGCTATGTTAAGCTATGCTAAGCTATGTATTATGCTATGTTAAAATAAGTGTTACGTTTGAGAAATGCATTTCTAACGTAATATACCTAGAAGTTGTTTTCTATTAGATATATAACATGCAAGTTTTTCAAATTAAGAAGAATAGGGGAATTTGAAAATTCTGAATAACAAAAGAACTGTGTTGAGCTTTCGAATCAGGATCTTTTACAAGGTTCTAAGAATCGGGGATGCGAATATGTTATCCCTAATCCCAAGGATATCTCCCTGCACCACTCACCCTATCCCCCCCTCTTTCCCTTCCCCACCCACCATTCCTCTCCGCACTCGCGTCCTCTGTTCTCCTCAGGCCCCGTAACCCAATCTGCATAATGCAAAGGCATTCGAGAACGTCTCCAGCTCCTATGTCGACTTCCAAACTATTCTCCGGATGATGTGTAGTCACGCGGGACACAACTTCTACCCCTCCCCGCACCTCTCTTCCCTGTCCCCGCTCCAGCTCCAGCTCAGCCACGCCCCCTCCCACATATACTGCGCCCCGCTCCGCCCACCCCGCGCTGCCAAATCCACCCGCGCACCGCCCTGTTTTCACCCTGCCCTTTCTCGCTCCTCACCCTCTCGTCTTGCTCTACCTCGCCCTGCTTCGCTCGGCCCAGCACCTCCCGGTCCTTGCCGGATCTCAGTTCTCTCCGGGTCCCCGCTTCATTTGGACACTCGAGCTCTCACCCGAAGTCTCCGCCATCCCGTAGCGTACACTCCAAACCAGAACAGTCCCCTCGCCAACCTACCCACTCCCACCTTCGCGTCCCACTCCGTCACTACCACCTCGCCCTACCTACTCCCCACCGCATCTTGTCCCGTCTCCATCTCCATCCATTTCTGCTCCCGGCTACACTCTCACCAATCTACCACTACCGCGCCCCGCCTTGCATGCTTCATCCCATCCCATCTTCATCCCGTATCCCCTCCGCTCAGCTCTCACACCGCCCCACCATACTCCCAGCTATACCCCTCTTTCTGCTCCCCTCCCTCCACCACTCCGACTCACTCCGATCCATCGCTACCATCCCGCAGCAACATTTCTCCTATCCGTTTTCCCGCTATGAATCAACTTTTTTTTTGTTTTCTTCCCGTCACCGTTGACCGCTCCGCTGGACCCTCTCCGACCCACCCCCACCACCTCTGCCCCGCTCTCAAACCGCTCCGCTCTGCACCGCCACTCTATGATCCGTCACAAACACCTCGTGGCAACCCGCTCCCCATTTACCCGCTCCGCCCCCATACCTGTCTAGTTCCTCCCCGCCTCCGTTGACCGCTTCACTGAAAACTCTCCGATCCACCACTAACATCCCACCCTACCTTCTCCGTTGTTCGCTCC